AATTGTCATTTGCCACCACCCCGGCGCATGCCACCATCATCTTGCCTTTGGGGAACTGCCTCAGCCTGCTCACTGGGTTCCCTGCTTCCCCTGGCCCGTCTAATGCATTCTCCACCCAGCAGCCAGAGAGATCCCATTAAAACACAAGCCAGTTGTGGCCTACTCCTCTGCTCAGAACCCTCCAATGGCTCCCATCTTGTGTCAATTAAAGTTTAATATCAGTACCAGGAGGTTCACGGCCTCACAGTCTGACCCCACAACTTCTCCAACATCATCTCCATCATTCTCTCCTGTGCCCACTCTGTTCCAGGTACACTGGCCTCCTTGTGTTCCTTCAACACATCAAGTGCAGTTGCACCTCAGGACCTTAGCCATTACTATTCCTTCTGCTTGGAACACACTTCCCCCAGACCATCCCATGACTCACTCCCCCAATTCAGCAGGTCTCTGCTCACATGCTCCCTCTTCAGAGAGGCCTTCCCCGCCTCTCTGTCTCAAGTCACACCATCACCCCTCCCCCACCGCTGCTACCTCTCCCCTTGCTTTGCTTTATTTTCCTTTTAATCCTTATCACCCTCAGACATAAGATGTTAGTTGACTCTCACAATGACTCGCCGAGGTAAGTACTATTATTATTCCCACTTGAGAGATAAGGAAACTGAGGCTCAGAGAGGTGACTTGATATGTGCAAGATCACTCAGTTGATAAATGGCAGTGCCAGGGTTTGAACTCTAGTCTGACTCCAAAGATGCAGTATTTAGCACCACTGCTTGTGGCCAGCTATACTCCCCATGACGATGAATGAATGAATGCATGAGTAGACAAAATGTTTGCCACCCCAAATACTAGTAAGCCAGTGCTTTAGCATAAAATTTGTAATTGTATCAATGTTCTTTGATGCTAATATGAGTTAGATGGAAAATATTTTTTTAATTACAAAGAATGACAATACAAAATTAACAAGGATGTGACAAAACTGGAAACCATACATCACTGGTAGGAATGCAAAATGGTACAGTTACTTTGAAAACCAATTTAGCATTGTATTGTAAAGTTAAACATACACTTACTATATGACCCAGCAATTCCAGTCCAAAGTATTTAACCAATGGAAATGAAAACATGTCCACACAAAGACTTGTACATGAATGTTCATAACAGCTTTATTCTTGTAACAAAAGGAACCCAAATATTCACCAAAAAGTAAATGGATAAACAAATAGTGATACATCGGTACTATGGAATACTTCTCAGCAGTGAAAAGGAACAAAATACTAGAATATGAAACAACATGGAAACTCCTAAAAGCAATATGTGAGTAAAAAGACAGATGAAAAAGAAGCATACTGTATGATTGCATTTATGTAAAATCCCAGAAAAGACAAAGCTAATCTATAATGACAAAAATCCAATCAGTTGTTACCTTAGGAAATGAGTGGGAGAAGTTGAGTGCAACAGGGTATAAGGGAACTTTTGGGAGGGATAGAAATGTTCTATATCTTGATTAGTGTGGTGGTTACACAGATGTATACAGTTGCCCAAACTCAGCAAGCTGAGTATTTTAAATGGTGCATTTTATTTATAAGATTATGCCGCAATAAAGTTGATAGGGGCTTTGGGAACACATACAAGAATTTTTATTGCAGCATCACTTGAATACCAAAAAAATTGGGGAAATTGGCTGTTAGCAGGAGAATGTTTCAGCTATCAGTGGTCCTTTGACATCAGAATGGCAGACTTTTGGAAGAAGATGTAGCTGATGCTGACAATGACCCTCTAAATGTCCCGGGAACCTGCATCTCTCTTCCTAGAGGCTCTCTCTGGTGACTGGAGCATGCATGGGGCAGACCAGAAATGCTGAAGGATTAATATCTCCCTGGGAGCAGCCCTCATCCAATGTCTGGCAGGCATTGGTGTATAAATACCCCAGCTCCCTCAAGCCTCAGGTTGCGGAGCACAGGCTCCGGACGCGCATGCTCAGCGGCCATGGCTCACGGGCCCAGCCGCTCCGCGGCATGTGGGATCCTCCCGGACCGGGGCACGAACCCATGTCCCCCTGCATTGGCAGGCGGACTCTCAACCACTGCGCCACCAGGGAAGCCCGATAATGCTCTCTTCATTGGCTTTCTTCCCTTGCCTGTCTCATTCACCCACTCCCTTACCAGTGTTTTCTGCATCTTCTAAATAACTGACTTTCACTTGAATCCATGTCTAGGGTCTGCTTCTGGGGAACTCAAATTAAGACCAGCAGAGGATACCAAGGGACAAGATACGGGGAAATGGCAGGAGAGGAATCCAGGCAGCAGCCACTCTGCAAGAATCTGTCATTCTTGGCAAAGCAAGTCTTTATAAAATTCTCACATGGGTTCATAAGGGGACACATATCAGGATGTCCACAGTGGCATTGTTTATGGTAGCGTGAAGTTGTGTGCAATCTGGGTGTCCATGACTAGGGGAATGGATAAATAGACTATGGAGGATGTAGACAATGACCTTCAGCAACATGGCTAGATATTAATAGTATCTAGTGATGGAGTGGGAAAAAAAGGACAAAACTGAATAAGTACCATCCAAGTAACTTAAACACACAATTAAAACATTATCTAGGGGCTTCCCTGGTGGCACAGTGGTTAAGAATCCACCTGCCAATGCAGGGGACAATGGTTTGATCCCTGGTCTTGGAAGACCCCACTTGCCATGGAGCAACTAAGCCCGGGCGCCACAACTACTGAGCCTGCGCTCTCCAGCCGGTGAGCCACAACTACTGAAGCCCGTGCACCTAGAGCCCGGGCACCCGCAACAAGAGAAGCCACTGAAATGAGAAGCCCACGCACCCAGTGAAAAGTAGCCCCTGCTCGCTGCAACTAGAGACAGCCCATACGCAGCAAAGAAGACCCAACGCAGCCAAAAATAAAATAAATAAATAAATATATATATATATATATATAAAAACCCATTATCCACTTTTTTTTTTTTTGGCTGCGTTGGGTCTTCATTGCTGCGCACCGGCTTTCTCTAGTTGCAGTGAGCCGGGGCCACACTTGTTTGCGGTGCGCGGGCTTCTCACTGTGGCGCACGGGCTTCAGTAGTTGTGGTGCCGGGGCTTATCCGCGGCATGTTGGACCTTCCCAGACCAGGGATTGAACCTGTGTCCCCTGCATTGGCAGGCGGATTCTTAATCACTGCACCACCATGGAAGTCCCCCGTTTTCTACTTTTTAAAAGTGCATACATGTATTTAAGTACATAAACAAAACACATAAGAGCAGAGTCATTATCTTTCTCATCCATGGTCTGTCCCCCTCCCCCCCAGGACGTTTGGTCATGTCTGGAAACATTTGGGCTGTCACAAATGGGGAAGGGGGTTGTTACTGGCATCTAGTGGATTAAATCCAGAAATGCTGTTCAACATTCTACTATGCACAAAACAGACCCCACAACAAAGAACTTCAGGACCTAGATGTCAATAGTGCTGAGGCCAAGAAGCCAGCCCTGTGTAGCCCAGCGCCCAGCACAATCTTGCTGAATGAATGAATGGAGAGATGATGGTGGCCTGAACTGGCTGGTAGCAGTGGGACTACAGAGACACAGTAGGATTCCCGTACATTTTGGAGGTGTGTCCAGCAGAATTTAAGGCGACAGTCCCTCTCTTTCCAGGAGGAGATGTGCTCTGCCCTTGCCTGGCCCTGGGCACATCTCACTCATCTGCGGCCTCCAGCTGTGCCCTCCAGCCCCACTTGCCGCCCCCTCAATTTTCGAACTCCTCTGAGCTGCCAGGAAGCCTGCAAGGAGTAAGGCAGTCTGGTTCCTGCAGGCAAGGAACTTTGCTTGGCGTTTGAATCGCCAGGGGCCTGCGGAGCGGAAACCGCAGACCACAGAAGGGCCGGGAAGGCTTGGGACGCGGTGTGGGGAGGGGCCCGGGCTAGGAGGTGGCGATTGGAAGGGTGGGGAATGCTTGGGGGAGGAGGAGTGGATTTAGAATCCTGTGAGAATGATGAGGGTGGGATTAGGATCCTCCTGAAAGGGTTTAGAATCCTTTGATAGGTGCCATCAGAAACCCTGGAAGGCAGGGATGGAATATTTGGATGGGCCGGATTAGAATCCTGGGGGGCGGATTAAAATCCTATGGGAACAGGTTGGGATCGCTCAGGAGAGAGATTAGAATCCCTAGGATTAGGGTAATAAATCCTGAGGGCTGGGTTAGAATCTTTTCAAGAAAAGGGTTAGGGGCTTCCCTGGTGGCGCAGTGGTTGAGAGTCCGCCTGCCGATGCAGGGGACACGGGTTCGTGCCCCGGTCCGGGAAGATCCCACATGCCGCGGAGCGGCTGGGCCCGTGAGCCATGGCCGCTGAGCCTGCGCGTCCGGAGACTGTGCTCCGCAACGGGAGAGGCCACAGCAGTGAGAGGCCCGCGTACCGGGAGAAAAAAAAAAAAAGAAAAATGAAAAGGGTTGGTATCCTTCCGTTGGCAGGATTAAAATCCTGGGGGCAGAATTAGAAATCTCCGGTAGGCGAGGTTAAAATTCCTTCAGATGTGAGATTCAAAATCCTTTGGGGCAGAATTAAGATCTCAGGAGGAGGAGATGAGGTGTTGGGGTTCTCGGAAGGGTGGGGTTTAGAATCCTTTAGGGCAGGATTAGGGCGATGGGAGGCAACGTTAGAATACATTGGGGGAGGTGTTAGGTTATTTGGGGGTTAGGACCTTTGAAGGGCCGGTTAAAATTCTTGGGGGCGGGGTTATTATCCCTCAGGGACAAGGTTAGGATTCTTGGGGGCAGGGTTAGAAACCTTGGATGGGCGGTGTTTAAAAAAATCCTTAGGCGGCGGGATTAGGATTTTAGGAGGTGGGGACAGAGATTAGAGTCCCTGGGGTGAGGTTAGAATCTTCGGGGGCGGGTTTAAGACACTTGGGGGCGGGGTTAGCATCACTCCGGGCGCGGCTAAGGAGCCCAGATGGCCTGTGGGCGACACCGCGTCCCTGGTTCAACCCCGGGCGCACCGCCGGGAACTAGAAGCAAGTGGGAGGGACGCGGACAGTCCAGCACGAGAGGGGCCCCATAAGACGCGCGGCCCCGAAGCCCCTCGGAGCGCAGCCCCAGCCTCTTCTCGAAAGTCAGTCCATTTTCCCTAGGGCACGAGCGCCCGGGACGCCGGGGGCTGCCGAGCTGGGGGGGCGCTCGAGCTGCGAGGATCCGGGCTGCCCACGGGACGAGGAGCGGGCGCCCAGGTGAGTGCAGCGCACACGGGTTCGGGGACAGCGGCCCGTGACCCTCGGCCTGAGGGTCTTCGGGCTGCGGAGGGAACCCGGGGTGGTGAGCCGCGTAGGTTGGGTTGCCCGGGAAAGGGACCTTCGTGGGAGCGGCGGACAGGAGGTGGGATGCGGGGGCCGACCCGCGGGGGAGGGTGCCCAGATGAACAGCGGAATTGCCTGGCGGCGAGCCTGGGAAAGCTGTAGGGTGACTTTGTGCCTGAGCCGCCACTTCTCTGGGCAGTCCAGGTTCCCCTTTTGCAAAAGGAAAAAAAAAAAAAAAAAGGCTTCACGGAGCCCGGGAGGGGAAGGCCCTTACGGTTCCTGGTGGGGGTGGGTGACCGTCACGGTCACGGCGGGTTGGCAGCCATAGTGGGGAAGGGGACAGCTGGCCGTAGGCGTGACGGTGCGAGCCCAGGCAGGGCTGCAGCTGGGTCAGCTCGCTGAGCCCCCTCCTCCTCCCAGCTAGGCCCTGATCCCCAGGGGGTTTAGGTCAAACCCCAAAACCTCCTGGACAGACAACAGGATGTGTGGCCCCTGACTTTCCTCCTTGTGAGACCTTGGACAAGTCACTCTCCCTCCCTAAATTCCAATTTCCTCATCTGCCAAAGAGGGCTACTAAGTCTTTCTTCCAAGGCTGCAGTGAGCTAGAATATGTTAGAGGTCATGTAAGTGACAGTTTAGTGTAGTGGTTGGGTAAAGGGTTTCTGGGAGCAACCTGCCTGTTGGACCTTGGGCAGCGGATTTAGCCTTTCTGTGCCTCCATTTCCACAACTGTAGAATGTGGATAATTAAAATGTGGCTCCTTCATAGGGTTGTTTTGAAGATTAGATTGAGTTGCTGAAGGAACGCTCTTAGAGAACTGACAGGTCTAATTGGTTAATACGGGTTAACTATTGTCATAGCTATTACAGCCTAGCCCGGTGGTTCTCATATTTTAGCGGAACAACAGAATCATCTAGAAGGCTTGTTAAAACACAGATTTCTGGGTCTTGACCCCAGAGTTCATGACTCCGTAAATCTGGCACCGGACCCCAAGAATTTGCATTCCCAGGTGATACTGATGCTGCCTGTCCCGGGGACACACTTTGAGGACCACTTTGGCCATCACAGAGAAAGCCCTCAATAGATACTTGTTCTCTTCACTGCTTTATTTTCACTATCCTTTTTTTTTGAAGGGGGTGAGGTTAAAATACAGAAAAATGAAGAGAATAATATACTAAATATCCCAGGAACCCACCACCCAGAATTAACAAATGTTCACATTTTGTCCTGTTTGCTTCAGTTTTTTAAAACATAAAATTACTAAAAGTAACAGTTAAAATTGAAGCCTCCCCCACCTTGTATCCCTCTCAGTTCTGTTTCTCTTCCTCCCCAGAGGCAACCTCTGTCATGAATTACAGTGCTTCCTGTCTGCGCCTTTAAAAAATGTATTACATATATGTGGGTACATAAACAATACATAAAATTGTTTTTCGTGTTTTAAGGATCTACATATATGCTATCTAACTGTGCGATTCTTCTGCAGTTTCATTTTCCCTTGCCTTCTTATCATTAAGTTGTCAGGGTCTAGCCAGGATAAGAAACAGAGCTCTAGTTTATTCCTTCTAAGTGGAGGATCCCAGCAGGGGACCATCCTACCTTACTTCTCATTCCCCTGGTGATGAACATACAGGTTATTCCATGGGTTCACGACAACACACAATACTGCTGGGGCCAGCCTGGATGTGTGGTCTTGGGTGCATGTACAGGTGTTTCTAGGGGAAAACACCAAGAGGCTGGATGGCTCTCCCGAGGGGCAGCTTTTGCGTATGAGGAGGACTGAGGCGTGAAAGGGTCACCCAGGGAGTCTGGGGCAGAGAAGAGAGAAGAAAGAATCTGGCTCTGCTGACCTTCCAGCTCTTTCTAGACCCAGGGCCACTGTCGCCTGTTCTCTACTGCAGGAGGGCAAAAATCTTCATTTGTCTCGTTCACTATGACTGACGCTTAGTAGATGCTGAAGCTGTGGAAGCATGAATCTTTTGTTGTTGTTTGGTTTTTGTTTGTTTTTTTGACCGCACTTCACAGCTTGTGGGATCTCAGTTCTCCGACCAGGGATTGAACCCCGGCCACAGCAGTGAAAGCACTGAGTCAGGGAATTCAGGGAGTCAGGGACGGTCCACTGGACCATCAGGGAATTCCTGGAAGCATGAATCTTTTAAAAAAAATTTTGGATAACAAACATTTTAGCTTATTTTTATAGTCTTTTTTGTGCACATATTATTTAATATAATTAGTAAAATGCTGCATATGCAATTTTTATCCCACTTGTTTACTTAGTATTACATTGTAAGCATTTTTCCATGTCATTAAAACATCCTCGATTTCTGAATGGCTGAATAATATTCCACTGTTTGGAGGCACCATAATTTGTTTAACCATCCTAGCAAAGCACTTTTGTGTAGTTTGTAATTTTTAAAACTATTCTTAGATGAACTTCACATAACATTATAAAGTTAACCATTTTAAAGTGAACAATGCACTGGCATTTAGCACATTCACAGTGTTGTGCAATCAGCACCTCTGTGTAGTTCCAAAACATTTTCATCATCCCAGAAGGAAACGCCATACGTTAAGCAGTTACTCTGTTCCTCCTTCCTCTCAGCCCTTGGCAGCCACCAACCTGCTTTTTTGTATCGCTGGATTAATTTATTCTGGGTATTTCATGTAAACGGAATCACACAAAGCCACACCTTTTGTGACTGGCTTCTTTCACTTAACGTAATGTTTTCCAGGTTCATCCAGTTAAATACTGACACATTTAATTCCTTTTATGGCTGAATAGTATTTCATTGTATGTATACATTACAATTTGTTTATCCATTCATCTATAGATGGAAATTCAGGTTGTTTCCACGTTTTGACTATTGTGAATGGTGCTGCTATGAGCATGCATGTACATATATTTGAGCACCTGTTTTCAATTCCCTTGGGTATATACTTAGGAGTTGAATTTCTGGGTCATATGGTAATTCCATGTTTAACTTTTGAGGAATCGCCAGACTGTATTCCACTACTTTATATTCCCATCAGCAATGTACAAGAGTTCCAATTTCTCCACATTGTGGCCAACACTTGCTATTTTCCTTTTTAAAAAATTATTATTAGAGGGCTCCCCTGGTGGCGCAGTGGTTGAGAGTCCGCCTGCCGATGCAGGGGACACGGGTTCGTGCCCCGGTCCGGGAAGATCCCACA